AAATAAAATTTACATACTCTGGACAATAACAAATACGAAACATAGAAAAGCAAAAGGTCATATAAACATACAAGAGGCCAATTACGTAAAACAATCAAAGGAACGTGAATTTATATGTTAATAATATAGTAAAAATATTATATGTATAGCAAATAGTTTAAGTAAAAATATAAAAGATAAATGGATCATTACTTATGCTACATAATAAATATTTAATAATGTGATTATTGTTTCGGTGGGAGACCGTGGCCGTCCGCTGACCATTCTGTCCAAACTCATTTGGTCTTGGACAAATATGGTCTTGGCCCATTTGGACAGTTTTGATGTGGGTTTAAAATTTTAAAACCATATCCATCCAAATAAAATGGACATTTGTCCAATTGACAGCTATACACACAAGACAATAAAAGCTCACTCAATGGAAACAATTTATTTATAGGCAAAAAACCTTAAAAAGGAGAATAGCAAAGTGATTTACCTCATGAAAATGTATTATAGTCTCTTGCATCCAAGTCTAGGATCTAAACTGCAACATTGATGCATAATGCATGATGCATTAGCCAAAATTGTAGTGTCTTTATCATTCATTATAATTGGTGCCTAAATTTACCAAAAAAAGGTTGTAACATGTACCTGAACAACTTTCCTACCAATATCTTACAATCTCTAGACAAAGGCTAAAATAACAAAACATGTGGGTGGATTTTGCACAATCATGCATACCTAGATGGAACAGAACCAGATTTAGCTTCAAATTAAAAAGAGAAATCAGCTAAATCCAAGGAGAAAGTGCAAACACTAAATAACCAAATTTTATTCTTATAAGAATAAAATTGATTAAAAAAAAGTAACTGATATAATTTATGTCTATTAGAGAAAGGCTAAGGGTGCAAATGGCTGTCAAAAAATGAATAAATTGAATGAGAGGAATAAAGATGAGTGGAATAAAAATGAGTGAATAATATTATTGAGTTGAATAAGCTGAATGAGTTGAATAAACTACAGAG